TAGGACATAATAGGAAAAAATGTCTATATCTTTTGTCATCAAGTAACAGTTGATGTTGTGATGATGTAGTTGTTGTTTATGAAATCTAAGTTTATGTTATTTAATTTTTTATTTACTTTCAGTTAATGTCATTTGAGCATCACCAAGTAATGGGCTTATTAAGTGAAAATTAAATAAAAACATTAAAGAGTAAATACAAGAAAACGATACAACTCAAACATGAAAAACAACTAAATAATAAAAACAATTCGAACAATTAAATAATAAAAACATTAACAAGAAAAGTAAATAAAAAGTTCATAATTAAATAAAAACTTTATAATTGTTGGTAAACAAACAAAATTAAATAAAAACATGACGAACTAAACAACTTTATTGATGATTTCGTCTTGAATGTGTTCCGCAGGGAAGTGGTTGTCTGTGTCGATAAGGATTTCTTCGTATAACTTGTTATTCTCCCTCGATCTTATCATCATAAGCAGCAACAGTATCAAGAGCAGATACATTTTGTTGAAGAGGGACGAATGACGATGTAGCACCTCCAAAGAATAAGGACCCTGGAGGTGTATGGCTGACTATCCCAATGCCCACAAAAAACTATGAAAATATAAAAACATTGACATCGATGACTGCAAAAACTACACCGGAGGTGTCTGTGTATGTGGTGAACATTCAACCGCTAAATAACTAGCATATGAACCCCAAGCTAGATCTACAAGCACGAAAGTATAATATGCGCCCATCAGGGGTTATAAAACTCTACCGTTGTTGCAGTATTTGTTATGGAAGTGGTGGTATCTGACCCATCTAAAGTGGCATATGAAATGGCTATGGTGTCATCTGATACGACTGCGATGCCATCTGATATGGTTATGGTGCCATTTGATACGGGTACAAAATATACACCAGTGTAGACGATGGTTGATGTGATGGTTCTGGTGCTGCAGCTGAGGATGAGCCAGAAGCGCCTGCTCTCCGTCCATAAATTGTAGGTGATGATGCTATTACGGTGGACGTCTTTGTTATCACCGATGAATACTCCCGCCTCGTGCTTCCTCGAAAAGTAGGAACGGTTTCTCGTTCGTGTTGAACCATTAAAATAATAATAATCCACAACTAATTAATGATCCACATAAATAGGTTCCGTACGGGGAATGCGCCACGTCAATCCTCCTATATCATGCCCACTTGATGTGCTTCAGCATCCAGTCGACTTCTTTTTTCCCCTGTATATCGATGATATGCATATCGTTGAGATTCTTAGGTGCTTCTGGAATAGATTTTACAAAACTAAATTGGTGGAGCACGCGATTAATAGGATGCCACTAGACAATAACATAACATATCAGAGGCACCACCGCCATCTAGACATCTAATGGGCCTCTCAAGTGATGTGGGATACAAACCCTCATTTTTTCAGTAAAATAAGGAGCCCAATGAAACTAAAACAAATATATATAATTCTTATCAAAATAATATTCTAATTATATAACGATAATTAAAAATAGATAATAATATTTAAATGCATACCTTTGTACTAGCCTTCTGATCAATGAATAACCTAATTTCTTCCAATTCATCAGGTAAATCTCGATGATCTTTTCTTGCACTTGACCACCTATTCAATGAAATAATTTTCATTATATACTCAACAAAATTATTTATATACGAAATTAGTATTGAAATTACCTCAATAATAGTGGTAAGACAACAGGTTTTTCACCACTGGACATAAAAAGGGTATGCGATACCACACCCAAGACTGGAGAAGAATTAGACATCCGCCAATAGCTTTTTTTTATATAATCAGTAGCTCGACACATTTTCCTATACATAAATGACAAAACTGCGGAGCCCTAACTGAGTGTGCCATTATGATGAAAATCTGCAAAGTGACGCAATCACATATAATGAACTTGGTTGCGGGATTTGTTGGGCATCAGGATCCCTCATATGAGCTATAATATGCAAGCTTGTACATACATTTTAACCTGCTCCTTGGAGGCATCGCAACTCAAATCTTTAAAAGTTGTATCTAACCAATTTAACGGTATTCGACCACCGTTGAAATTAGGCGGGACACTTCCAAGATACTCCTCGCACAAGGAATGTCAGTCACCATCTGCCACCCCATAAATCACATCCCCATCTACCGAAAGCCCTAAATGTATAAAAACATCCTTCAACGTAATTGTGCACTCTCCGCAGGGAAAATGGAATGTGTGTGTCTCTAGTCTCCACCTCTCAACCAATACATAAATAAGGTTGGATTCAAGGTTACAGTCCCATTCATATTTCGCTACATAACTAAATCCAGCCTCGACTAAATATACACGAGTATGTATCTCTAAGTTAAGGTTATGAATGAATGAATCTAATATATATAGTCTCTCTCCTAATTTAATAAATATTATACAAATTAAAATATAAACTAATACTAAAAAATTAAATAAATAAAATATTCACAATAATTAAAATTACAACAGAATTTAAAATTGTTACCGTATCGACAAAATGCCTCGATATATGATTCCTATATAAACATAGCAAACCACCTTCCATTTTACAATGACAAAAAGGAATAAAAAATAATATAATAAAATTTAATAAAATAATAAATTATTGATTAATTATAATACAATAAAAAAAATTTACCTTCTTAATAGAAAGATTGATACTCAGAAGAATGAGAAAATTTGAGATTTGAGTGTGGTTTTTTGTTATAGTATTTATAGGAAGAGGGGAGGGGGAGACGGGCACCCATAAATGTGGGAAGCGGACGGTTGGGGTATTGATGGAAAGGTGCGGATCATGATCCATTCCTTCCATACTTGTTAGAAACCCCGAAGATGCAGAATGCAATTCGCACCTTTCCTTACGTGGCGCCAGCTCGGACAAAACTCCTCGAAGGCGCAAATGGCGATCCGTGCTTTATTACCATTGTGTCAAAAAGGGTACTAGATCAATAATATTAGAGATGATAGTGTCTGACAGGTAATTATTAGTGGTACATGTGATATTTCGGTAAAAACGCCTTATTTGTCAGCATCTTCAATGATCAACTTGGACCTTAAATCTTCTAGTTTTGTACTCGAGGATTTTCTGTAATAAACTGTTCATAATAATTGATTCATCATTAAAATTGCAGGACCTAGGGTGTACAAAGCAGTTTTCAACTCTGTTTTGAAAACTGGACCGGACCGACCGGTTCAACCAGGAACCGTTGTTTAGTCTGGTTCAACCTAGGAACCGTTCGGTTGATTTTTGTTTTTTTTAAAAAAATTAAACCAAACAACATCGTTTGTTAAACGAGCCAAGTCGAACTCGAGTATTGCTGACCTCGACTCGAACTTGAAAACTTTAAAAGTAAGCTCAACTCAACTCAAACTCACAAGCTAAAAATTATCCAGTTCAACTCAAACTCGAAATATAATATTGAAACTTGAACTCAAAAAGGCTTGAACTCAAAAAAAATTAGAAGCTCGATTGAAGCCTAAAATTCGAGCTTGATTGAAGTGAAAGAATAGTTCACTCAATGCTCACCAAAAGGCTCCATGATTTTGAATGCCAAATTATCTATTATTTATAGAAGTTAGTTGTGATGCGCTTCTATGTTTCTTAGCAATGTGAGATTGTTTTGTTCTCATTTTACTCTTTAGACTTTTGGGATGCTCTTCTATGTTTTTAGCCATGTGGGATTGTTTTTAAAAAAAATTAAACCAAACAATATCATTTGTTATGATTTTTTTAACCCCAAATTTATTTTTAATTATAGTTATATAATTATATTTATTATTTAATATGTTTTACCTTAAATATTATGTTGTAGTTAATTTGAATCATTTTGTTTCACTTGATTTTATGGTTTTTAACTTATATATGTTATGACTTGCTTTGAATATGACTTGTGATATAAAAAATTATTTTTTATTAAATATTTTTGGTATTTTTATTTAATTTTTTAAATAATTATGACGTCGTCCGGTTCTTCCGACCGATCAGACCGGTTCGACCGATTGAATCAGTAAACGGGTAGCATGACCGGTTCGCTAACCGGTCCGATTATGAAAACCATGGTTTTCAAAGTAAAATAGTTGTTATTCCGAGCATAATATAAATAGATTTCCTTTTAATATTTTAACTTATTCGAAGTATGTTGGATGAATCATCTTCTTCTCCTTAGCTAACAAAAAATAAGTCGATGCAAATGACAAAATCAGTGAAACAAAGAAACTACTTTAAAACTATTTAAATATTAAAATATAGAATACAATGGCCTTTTTTTTTAATCTCAAGTGGGAATTATTTGTCAATAAAAGTGATTTTATTAGTTTCCTATTTTATCCTTGACATTTTTCTTTTCTCCTGTTTCCCATATAGTTTACACACCAGTACAGCACATTTCTATATATTATATAGAATGCACGTATGCATGTATATAATATAAATAATAATAATCTATTGGGTTGTCAATCACAAGAAGTTTCTTCATGGCTAACATTTTCTTTGGTGGATTGAGAAAACCCTTTTCGATAATAGACAAAACTAACGAAAGCTACTATTTTTTTTTCATTATTATAAATTTTGGGATTAGCATTACTAATTTTTAATTAACAGCCATCCATGTGGACAAATAACACTTGACCCTTAAATTAGCAAAATTTAAGTTTTGATTGAAAATCCTATAAACATTTCACAAGCCAAAAGCAAGAGCAAGTATAATTATAGTTTGGTCACATTAATATATTGTATGTACAGATGAATAAATCAAAGAGTAGAAGCTCTTTTACAGAGTCTTTTCAAGACCGACTTCTTCGCAATTTCTGCCCATTTTTATCTATACTAATTTACTAAAATCTGAATTCTATATATATCCATGTTGTGTTGAGTTCCTACAGAACTTAACAAATTAGCTTGAGAAACTATTTATTTTTTCTAAATCTTTTTTTATTTGTCCAAGTTATCGACCCTGGAAACTTGTTTTTGTAAGGTAATTCAACATGGGGCTCAAAGCTTGGAAGTTTCTCATGTTTTCATGCCTGCTTTTTTCTTTCTTGGACTCATCCTCGTCTACCAAGCCCCGAACCTGTATGTCTCAAACGTTTTCCAACGGCAGGCAATTTGCCAAATGCATTGATCTTCCAGTTCTCAACAGTTATCTCCATTGGACATACGATTTATCGGCGGGGACGGTTGAGATGGCTTACCGGCGCACAAAAAGCACGTCGTCACAGTGGTCGGCTTGGGGCATCAATCCCAGTGGACCAAAAATGGTGGGTACACAGGCTCTGGTAGCCGTCGTGAACCCCAACGGCGTGGCTGAGGCATTCACGACCTCCATTGACAGCATGAACCCTTCCCTGAAAAGGATGCAGTTGAACTTCCCGGTTTCAGGTCTTTCGGCCACGTTTGAGAAGAACGAGATCACGATATTTGGCGTTTTGAAAATTCCCCCAAGCTTGTTAGCCACTAGCCATGTTTGGCAGCAAGGTCGAATGGTTGACGGCCAAATGCAGCCTCATCCTACATTTGGACCCAACGTTCAATCCACCGGAGGTATCAATTTCAAGACGGGACTGTGATGATAAATGTTGATCAGTCAGTTACCAGTACTCTATATGGTTTTCTCATCTCAATCTACATTATAAATGTTGCTCGCCTCTGTTACAGATATTAGAGCTTATGAATAAAAACTAGGCCAGATTTTCAATCATTCTCTTCTTCGTTTTCTACCATTTTTTTGGTTGATAATACAATATTAGAAATGCGTATTACTCAAATTCAAGTCACCTTCACTCGTACGTTCAGAGAGGACGTTGGGACATCATTAAATTGAATGTTGGCATTACTAAAATTTAAGTCACCTTCAATCCAAGCTCCTGTATATAAAAACTAGGCCAGATTTTCAATCATTCTCTTCTTCGTTTCTACCATTCTTTTCTTGGTGTAATACAATATTAAAATGCGTATTACTCAAATTCAAGTCACCTTCACTCGTACGTTCAGAGAGGACGTTGGGACATCATTAATTGAATGTTGGCATTACTAAATTTAAGTCACCTTCAATCCAAGCTCCTGTATATGTCAAAGGCTTAATGAATTGATACCAAAACCAAAGTTATGGCAGCGTCACGTTGGGACATCATTAAATTGAATGTTGGCATTAATTATGGCCACAAAAAGATCATGTTCCAACTTTATATTTTACTGCAATGATATTTTAACCTCCAACCATTTACAAATCTCACCTCCAATACTAACCACCAACACTAAATTTATGATTAAAGCTAATTTTAAACTTATTAGTGGGGAATATATTGAAATTTTATATGTACGTAAAAATTCTAGCAATTGAACTCATTGAATAACTCCAGTTCTAGGTTAAGCAGTCAGTCTACATACGTATGCATTATCAATAATTAGTTTGCAACCACCCATGCTATTTAAAAGGTGATTGGTCATTGGATAGATGCTCAAAACAAAACCTTTACCATTAATAGCGAGCATGTCGTGCTGGTCCCTGGGTGGGCAATGGACTCGAAGCTCATCTCTGACCCAAACACTAAGTTAGCCCAATTCCATTCCAGCTAAATTACTTTCAACCCTAAAAGATTTTCAAAAATAATGGTGAAGGAGACCTTGTAGTTGAACCACCTTCAATGGCCTTTCGTCCGGTACTGCTCTCAAAGAATGGAAATAATTGTCAAAGGGTGGCGTGGATTCATTGCATTCTGGGTTTTGATTTTTGTCCTCTTTCACTGCAATATGGCCAAATTTACGGACCAGAAAGTTTGTACCACATACATTCAATTATACCACGACATGAATTACGGAATGACAGCATCACCGCAACCTGCCGAAACGTGGAGTTCAAAGAATGGCATATCCTCCGAAAACGATGGAGCAAGATAAGAGCTCCGTCCATGGAGCCTGGACTGGACTGTACATTGTATTATCAAGTCCAACCACTTCTTCAAACCTCAAATTTGCCTCTGAGAAGCCAAGTATGGCCGCTCTTACTCCTACACCAGTATCTCCAGCATCATTTCCCCAACTTTCCCAAAGAAAACTACTCACTTTCAGTCCAATCCAATGCCATAGGACACCAAAAGAAGCCATGGAAATCTAGTAATGGATACATAAGCTCAACCTGAAAAGGGTCATTCAATACGTCCGGGAACACCGTCACCTCTTCCTCCTCCTCCTCGGCCTCGCCGGATAATACTCGTAAGGCACGGACAGAGTGAAGGGAACGTGGACGAGAGTGTGTACACGAGAGTTGCTGATCCGAAATCGATTTAACGATAAAGGCAAGGCTGAGGCTGAGAAATGTGGATGGAGGATAAGGGAAATGATTGAGAAAGATGGAGCCGATGATTGGAAGGTCTATTTCTACGTGTCACGTATAAAACACTCGAAACACTTCGCCACTTGGGCCGTGCATTCCATCGCTCTAGAATTTCAGGCATGCGGGAAGAGCCTCGAATCCGCGAGCAGGACTTTGGTAACTTAATAATTACTCTATATATCGATCTTCTTCTTAGTCTCTCTACCATAATTAACGTGTTTGGTCGAAAGGGAATTTTCAGGACCGAGAGAAAAATGAGAGTCGACAAAGCTCTCCGTCTGCGTTACGGTCGTTTCTTTTACCGTTTTCCCAACGGAGAATCTGCGGCGGATGTTTATGACAGAATCACAGGTAATGTAATACAAATTGTTCATCTATGAATAATAATCAAGGTTACTTGAACTGGGCACGATCAAATGATGCAGGGTTCAGAGAAACACTCAAGGCAGATATCGATATCGGACGGTTTCAGCCACCAGGTGAACGAAGCCCAAACATGAACTTGATTATAGTCTCGCATGGCCTTGCGTTGCGTGTGTTTCTGATGAGATGGTACAAATGGACGGTGGAACAATTCGAAAGACTCAATAACATGGGAAATGGTAACACTATTGTGATGCAAAAGGTTACGGGGGAAGTAATGTTCTCTTCTTTTAACCCAAATGAATAGAATATATTGAGTCGAGCTCAAAATTTGCTTTAAATGTTCAGATACAGCTTATTAATGCATCACAGTGAAGAAGAGCTAAGAGAGTTTGGGTTGACGGATGAAATGTTGATCGATCAGAATGGTAAGGTCTTTCTCAAATTGTTCAAGTGTTTTTCGATATCGGAACATCCTTATTATTCTAATGGTGAGCTTTGAAGTTCAGGCAAAAGGCAGCAAGAATAGGAGAATTCAATTATGAATGTCAATGGTGAATTCCTTCTTCACTCACTTGATGAAAAAGTAATTTCTTGATTGAGGATGCAACAGAGTTGCCTATAATCCAGGACAATGTAATGCAAGCAAGTTCTTTTTCTTTCAAAACCTAGGCAAAGAATTTTGAATCATGAAATTATAATGAGCTGATGTTTTATATAATAATGAAAGGGTACACCATGCTTCGTTTTTACTTGGTGCACGAATAGGTCCGAAAGTACACCTTTTTCTCTTTAGGTCCTTTAACTTCTTTTTGATCTAGATCAAACTTAACATTATTATTTTTTCCCATATTAGTCCATACGGTCATCAGTATGAAGAAGGAAGATTTTGGAGGCAGCTTTGCTACACGCTGCAGTCTCTTTTCTCTCGAGCCCAATTGATGTTATAAGTGGAAACACACATAGAATGACTGGATTCTAATCATACATTTTGTCAAAAAGCTTGTTTTAATCAATAATTGTGTTGACAAACTCAAAGCTAATTATCACTCCAAACAAGACATGGATTAGCATAAACAATTATGATTAACACATTAAACATGAAAAAGTATACAAAGAACTTAATATAAATCCAAGTGCCAACTTAACTGCTATTGAGAATCAATGATTGGTTCCAAAAAAAAAAAAGAATTATGATTCAGAATCCTGTTTCAAGGAAAGTATAGTTTTGCCTGCAAGTAACAAGCTATTCCAAACCCATACCTGGGTTATACTCATTCCCTCAAGTTATTCCCTACCATCATTTTCCTTTCTATAAAGAACACATGATTACACACATCCGGTAAAATATGCTCCAGTTTTCCCTCACATCAGCAAGCCACCAAAAGTAGTTTAACAGGATGCTCCGCATTCTGCAATCCGGAATTTCACATGTCTAACAGGATGGTTTGGTTGAATTCTAATTTACTTAATATAAGGATGACAGTCCGATTACATTACCTACTACGAGAACTCGATTCCTCCACACAATGTGTGCCACAGTTTAGAGAGAAGAAGATGAAAAAAAATGAGCCATCGGAACGAACACCAAACCATTGCGAAGATGAAAACAAGATACAGAACCATTAAAGTACACCACTGTTCTGCACCATGGACGTAGGAATTCTATGAGTTCTCAATGGTTGCCGTTGCAACTCTATTGGCCTTGGTGTTCTCTTTCACACTGAGTCGCCAGAAACCCTCCTCCACCATACTTCAAAACCTTTCTGAATGTTGGGACAATCTTCACCGGAGTTCAAGAACCTATCAAACCATGCGAGCAAAATTTCCTGCTGCCAAGCCAGAGACAAGTGAGAATTGTGTTGCTAAGACCATCCTCGAAATGTCTATCGAGGCCTTTCGATGTTCTTCTCAGCCACCCGAAATCATCGTAAAATGGAACCAACCATGTTTGCAAAAGCAGGCACCTTACTTCCTTTGAAGCCAATAACTGCCCCTTCCCAATTCCTACAAATAGCGTGCGGTAACTCTGCTAACTTCATACCTATGGACAACTGGAACTTTAGAATGAGTTTCAGATAATCAGATTGAGAAGCCCATGTTTTTAGAAAATCTTCAGCAATCTGTCTATCAATCAAAATGTCCAAAATCCAGTGCAAATTATCCGCTTGTCTTGCAATCTGACTTGCGTCCTGCAAATCAGCCGATGCTGCTTGGAGAAAATGGTACCGAAGCAGTTCCAAACAGCCATCAGAAGCCGAATATAAAGACTCTTTCCGGAGATCATTGTGAGATGAATTCTCCCGAAGCATCTTAAAGACCAACCGTTTCATTGCGTGCCTTGCTTTCTCATCTTTGCCTTCAAGAACCACATGCAAAAGCTTGAGAAGCACTTGTTCATTACCATCATCCTCATCAGTTCCATTAGTACTTCAACAGATACCCTCTTCAAAACGTCCCAGCTCCAACGTTTTCGAGGCGGAGCTCCGCCAACAAAGAAGCCACTTTCTCTTCTTCGTCCTCGGCCCAAGGGGCGGCTTCCAAGTACTCCAAACAAGACAAAACCCCAGCATCAAATCCAATAGCAGCTGAAACCTAACAAAGGAAAAAACATCACACTAGCACCAGTTCAACACTAAAAAGTTACACGATCCTCTAATCCCCACTTTAGGTATTGTGAACCAAATATACAACAAAAGGGAAACTGAACTATTACTGCTAATCTTCATACCAATTCTCAAGTATCCGTGTAACAAACAATGAAAGAATCAAATGAAAAACCAAAACTTACCTTCAAAATTCCAAGAACCTTAGAAACGTCCTCTCTCATTAGTTTCTTCCTCAAATCTTTACAATACATCAGCCTCAAGGTCTCTATATAAACCTCAACGTTATCACAATCTGATTTCCACAATGTACGGCCCAGCTGATCCATTCCTCTGC